TTCCGCTCCTTCAGCAGGTTCTTGGTCTCCCGCCTTCTCCTGGTCCTCCTCCTCCCTTCGAGTGTCCACAGCCTGTCCAGTCACAGTTACAGTTACAGCCCGCCTCCCCACTGCCTGCTCCTTCTCCCTACACTGGTCCTACTGGAGGTCTTGCTGAGCGTCGTGAGCCTGCGTCTCGCCCTGCGTCGCCTGTCCGTGCTGCTCGCACTAGTGGTCACAGTTCGCGTCAGCGTCCTCCTCCTGTCCCTGGCACGCACCGGATGTCTCTGCGTCCGTCCACTGCTCCTCTGCATGCCCCTTTGCCTTCTCCTCCTGAGTCCTCTCTTCCTGCTCTTCCCGACCCGGAGTCGGACTCTCTTCGTGCTGCCAGTCCTACTGTTACGCGTCTCCTTGCTACTGTCGTTACTGACCCTTCCTTTGCGTCCACTACTGCGTCTGCCCTAGTTGCTGAGCTCGTCGACTTTGCTGCTCGCTGTCGTCTAGACTACGCTGCTTGTCTTGTCGCTGAGTCTGAGTCTGTCTGTCCTCCGTCCGTCGGGGGTGAGTGTGCCCTTGGCACGGACGTCCTTGAGGACAGGCAGGAGGAGTTCCAGTGTTTGGCTGCTGCTTCACCTCATCTCGTGTCCGTACTGCTTACCCCTGAGGGAGACCCGGATGCACTTGACATCCCGACTCCGCGCTCTTACGCGGAGGCGATAGAGGGTCCCTACTCTTCTCAGTGGCAGGCAGCTATGGATGCAGAGATGGCTTCCTGGAAGTCCACAGGCACCTACGTTGACGCTGTCCCCCCTCCTGGGGCGAACATCGTCAGTGGCATGTGGATTTTCAGGGTGAAGCGGCCGCCGGGTTCTCCGCCTGTCTTCAAGGCGCGTTACGTGGCTCGTGGCTTCAGTCAGCGGCAGGGAGTTGACTACTTTCAGACCTTCTCTCCCACCCCGAAGATGACCACTCTTCGGGTACTGCTGCACGTAGCTGCTCACCGTGACTACGAGCTACACTCTCTTGACTTCAGCACTGCTTTCCTGCAGGGCAGCCTGCACGAGGAGATCTGGCTGCGCCGCCCACTTGGCTTCACTGGGACTTTTCCTCCTGGCACCCAGTGGAGCCTCCGGCGGCCAGTCTACGGTCTCCGCCAGGCACCGCGTGAGTGGCACGACACACTGAGGACTACGCTTGCGGCTCTTGGGTTTGCTCCCTCTACTGCCGACCCGTCGCTGTTTCTACGCACCGACACTTCTCTGCCGCCGTTCTACATCCTCGTGTACGTCGACGACTTGGTCTTTGCCACAGCTGACACTGCTGGACTCGCCTACGTGAAGTCCGAGCTGCAGAAGAGACACTCGTGCACAGACCAGGGTGAACTGCGCAGCTACCTTGGCTTGCAGATCACCCGGGACAGAGCACGCCGCACCATCACCCTGACTCAGTCACACATGGTGCAGCAGGTCCTTCAGCGCTTCGGCTTCACGTACTCCTCGCCTCAGGCCACTCCTCTGCCTACTCGCCACTCGCTCTCAGCTCTGCCTTCGGATGAGTCCGTAGAGTCGAGTGGCCCGTACCCAGAGCTTGTTGGCTGCCTCATGTACCTGATGACCTGCACGCGACCTGACCTTGCATACCCTCTTAGCATTCTCGCACGCTATGTTGCTCCTGGGAGACACCGACCAGAGCACATGGCTGCAGCGAAGAGGGTGTTGCGCTACTTGTGCAGTACGTCGGGCATGGGGCTAGTGCTTGGAGGGCGGAGTCCAGTGGTCCTCACTGGTCACGCAGACGCTTCTTGGGCTGACGACCAGGCTACGCAGCGGTCGTCACAGGGTTACACCTTCAGCCTTGGTTCCGGCTCTGTTTCGTGGCGGGCTACTCGCTCGTCTTCTGTTCTCGGCTCCAGTTGTGAGGCTGAGATCTACGCAGGGGCCATGGCTGCTCAGGAGCTTCGCTGGCTTACCTACCTGCTGACCGACCTTGGAGAGCCGCCTCGTTCTCCTCCAGTCCTGTACGTAGACAACAAGGCCATGCTGGCCTTGTGTCGAGAGCAGAGACTAGAGCACAGAACAAAGCACATTGCTCTCCGCTACTTCCTTGCTCGTGAGCTACAGCAGCGTGGTCAGTTGCGGCTTACGTACGTGGCCTCTGAGGCCAACACTGCTGATGTCTTCACCAAGGCACTTGCGCCTTGTGATCATCAGCGCTTCTGTACCCAGCTGGGTCTTGTGCCTGTCTTGCCTCACTTGCTCACCTCTTGACCTTGGTTGTACTGTTACATATATATGTACCTGCTCTTGCTTGTCTAGCCTTATATATATATATGTACTCCTGCATGTGAACTGGCCTTGTGGCCTTGAACTTGTGCTCGGAATGTGTGGTGACTTTGTGATCCACCCTGAGCTTGCTTTGCCTTGCTTTACTTGACTGGTCTTGTGACCCCTAGTTCTCCCCCACTTCGCCTATGGGGGTGTGTCAAACATTATATATGTTGTGCTTGTTTAGGCTACAGTGGGTTAGTCTATAGGGGGTACACAATTCTAGGGTTAGGTACTTGTACTCATTTCACTGTTAGTTCGACCATTCCTGTTTGTTCATCTCAACAGTCTGAGAGGAGGTCGTAGGCTCTGAATACCAAGTGTTACGAGTGCAATTGAGTGAACGAACGAGAATTGCACTATCGAAGCAAGAGTCCAAATGAGCGAAGGCATGAGCGAAGAATATATAGCGAAACTACAGTGGTAACGGTAATGGACTGTGGTTGTCGCGCGACGGGCCTGGGACTGAGGTTGGGAAAAAGTGTCGAAGCGGAGGCCCGGAGCGCGGGTTACCCGCCGAGCCGTGAGGTCGGGGTGCGACGTGCGAAGGTGGCGGGCGGATTGTCGATGCGAGGGTGGCGAGTGGTAACGGTGCTGACTGTGGTGCTACAGTGATGTACACGTTGGGCAGGGATGCGAAGTAAGGAAAAGGAATTTTCCTTACAGGTTCGATGCAGTGACGACTCGGGCAACTGCTCAATAGCGAGTCAGCTGTTTGTCCTTGCTGTCGCGCTGTACTTGTCAGGTCAAAGGTCGCTGACCTTTGACTTTCGCGTAACCTCCAGCAGTTGCTCAACCTCCGAGGGTTGACTCGCCGATGCTTCGATATGTTCTGCTTCGCTTATGACTTAGTGTTTCGACACGACAGAGGCGCTTTTCAACAGCAACATCCACACTCATAATCAGAAACTCTTTTGAAGATGTGTGAAAATATTTTTAAGTAGTTTTAAAAAGTTTCCATTTATAAGACACCCAAAGCCTCCCTAAATACAAGATAAGCCAAGCATTTTTTTTAGTGTATGAGATAAGACATATGTCTTATATCCGGGCGATGACGGTAACAGTTTACTGTTGGGTGCTGTTGGCGGGGACAGTGGTGTACGTGCTGAGCAGGGACGCGAAGTAAGGAAAATGAGTTTTCCTTACACTCTGACTTCGCGCTAACTTTTAGCACAATAGGGTACAATGTGGTAAAACAAGATCAAGCCATTTCCCTACTTAAAACATAGACAGCCATTCTTCTAAGCAGTATTGGATAGGACAGCACACTTGATGACATGCTTGCACAAGTATCTCTCTTCTGGGAGTGCAGCTTCATATCTCAACAATAATCTCCATACTGTACGATCGCTCCTTGTTGTTGGAAACAACAGAGCTTAAGCGCCTCTGTCGTGTCGAAACACCAAGGCACAAGCGAAACAAAGCATATCGAGGCACCAGCGAGTCAACCCTCGGAGGTTGAAGTAACTGCTGGAGGTTACGCGGAAGTCAAAGGTCAGCGACCTTTGACCTGACAAGTACAGCGCGACAGCAAGGACACACAACTGACTCGCTACAGAGCAGTTGCCCGAGTCGTCACTGTATCGAACCGCAACAGCAACAGTAAAGTAGTTATAACTGTATCTCTTCGTATTCCTTGTACTCCTATATAATCTTGTATCTCCTTGCTTTAATCAATCTACTTTGCCCTCACATACTAGCGCAAGGTGGTTCACAATACTTTATTAAAACGCTTCCGCTATTACATCAGTCCTACCCAGAGTTCATCCCTGTAAAGATCCTAAGGGCTTTTCTCAGCCCAACACTTGTCACGTCAAACCAGGCCAAAGTCCGGAAAAGCTTTGCACGAGTGAAACCGCCTCACACGCACCACTTTGTTGAACGACACCTGCTTTTTCAGTCTGCCTCTCCCTCCCAACCCACTCCCACTCCCGCTCTCACCCCCAAGCGATAAACACGATTTCACAGGGCTCTTGGGAGGAAAGGGGCTCTCTGTTCCTGCTGAACCATGCCCATCCGCACCCCCTTCCTGCGTCCTTCCAGCTCTCCCTCCCGCCTCACCACCAAGCATTGCATCTGCTCCTAGCAGTTCATCCGGGCTTCCGGTTTGTGTGCCTTGCAGGGGAATGCAGCCTTCACTGTGCGACCTCGTGAAGTGCCGCATATCTTGGTCGATTTTTATGTGTTGCGACGCCCCAACATGCGACCTTGTGAAATGCCGTGAGTCTTGGTCGATTCTTATGTGTTGAGAATGAGACGCCTCAACACGCGACCTTGTCAGGTGCCGTGAGTCCTGATCAATGCTTATCAACCGCTGTGGATCTTGGTCCATCCCTGTAAACCGCTGTGCATCTTGGTGCATCCCTGTCAACTGTGGTTGTGCATCTTGCTCCACTCTCGGACTGCCTGGGATGAAGAGAGGTCGGAACACCGACGAGTGGGCCCGGGGCACAAGTCCCTCTCTTCGCCCACCACCACCCCTGCCAACCCCCTCTCCCCCCCTCCCATTTCCATGCAAATCCCTTCGCCCCCCACCACCACTGTCAACCCCCTCTCTTCCGCTCTCGTTTCCACGCAGATCCCGAATTTTTTCGTCCTGAGGCTGCCCCGAAATTTCGGAATCCAAGGAAAGAAAGTTGAAGCCGCCCCTCGTTCCCCTGCCAAATCCATCCCTCAGGGTTGGGCTCTGTAGCAGCACTACCTCCCCCTCTTCCCCCAACCTCTCCCATCCTGGATTGTCAGCAGGATAAGAGGCTCCAATGGAGGAAGAGGGGGAGATTATGGGGGAACGCGTGCGGAAGAGGGTTGGGCTCTGTAGCAGCATTACCTCCCCCTCTTCCCCCAGCCTCTCCCCTCCAGGATTGTCAGCAGGATAAGAGGCGCTGATGGAGGAAGAGGGGGAAAGTCTTGGGGAACGGGTGGGGAAGCAGGGGGGCTTGGATGGGGAGATGGGGGGGAGACTGGCGGAAGGGTCAGGGGGGATGAGGCAGGGGAAGGTGGGGGAATGGCAGGGGGAGGCGGGGGTATGGGGGGAGGCGAGGGTATGGGGGGAAGAGGCGGAAGGGTCTGGTTGAGTCTGGGGTGTGGTAAGGGGTGGGGGGCGGCGGGGGAAAATGGTTGGGGAGGGCCTGTGTTGGCGGAATGGGGGGGGGGAAGGGGAAGGCAGAGGCGCATGGGGGGAGGTCGGAGGGACTAGGGTGGGTGGGGAAAGGGTGAGGGAAGGGGAGCGGGAAGGGGAGCGGGAAAGGGAAGGGGAAGGGGATGTGGCAAGAGTTTGGCCTGGTGCGCAGCTGCGTACGCTCCCAGGGGCGGATTTGGAACGAGTAATGGCGGAAAGGTGAGTGGAGGAAGGGGAAGTGGGGGAAGGGAGAGTGGGGGTAGGGGGAGTGGCGGAAGGGGAAGCAGCTTGTTCTGCTGTAGGCCGAGATCTGCGGGGCTTGAAAGCCAACCTCGCATCATACCTACAGGAACCTGCCTCAAGCGAACTCGCCTCAAACGCTTCGAAAGTCCGTAAATCTCGTTCGGTCACGGAGCCTGCTCTGCGGGCGGTGCGATGATTGCTAGAGCTTGCTTCTAAGCTCCCTAACGCATCGAATGCTTTGGAATCGCGTTCTATCACAGAGCCAGCTCTGCGGGTGGTGCGATTATTGCCACTCATAGCAGTGCGCTCAGTGCGATTGTTGGTAAAGCTGGTCTCTAAGCCCTCTATTGCCTCGAACGTCCCGGAATCGCGTTCGGTGACGGAGCCTGCTCTACGGGCAGTGAGGTGATGATTGCCACTCGGCGCAGCAGTACGATGATGATTGCTCCACTTTGGACTAACAGTGCGCTCGGCGCGCTCAGTGCGATGATGGTCGCTAACGCTTGCGTCGAAACTCCCTAACACATCAAACACATTGGAAGCACGCTCTGTCACGAAGCATTCTCTACGGGCGGTGCGGAGATTGCCACTCACATTAACAGTGCGCTCGGCGCGCTCGGAGCGATGATGATTGCTAACGCTTGCTTCGAAAGCCTCTAAGGATTTGAAGGCCTGGAAATCGCGCTCCGACACTGACGCGGATCTACGGGCGGCGCGATGTTGGCTGTTATGATTACTGTAATGATGACTGTGCGAAGGCGGCGCAGCAGGAGAGGCGCGGGGAGAGGAGGAGAGGAGAAGTTGGTCCAATCTAGGCGACGAGGCAACACGACGGGTCAGCCCAGGGCGGGGGGACGGCGCATGACGAGGGGACGGCGACGCGGGCGGATGCGGGGTATGCGGCGGATGGGGGGAATGAGGCGGATGGGGGGAATGGGGCGGATGGGGGGAATGGTGAGTGTGGTTAGAATGGGGAGGATGACGCGGAGAAGAGTGTTGTTGCTGCTGATGCAGCTGAGGCGCTTCGATAGAGACGCGCGGCGGACGGCAAGGAGACGGCGCGGCGGCGGCGGAAAGCTGATTCGAGGCGGAAGAACCGCTGGCGGCGCCAGGGGAAGGGGGGGAAGGCTTATGGCGCGCGGCCAGCGAGGCGGCTGCTACTGCTGCTGCCGTTGCTGCTTTGCCAGAAATGTTACTGCCGATGCCACCACCCTCGTTACGACCACCATCACCAGAGCTGCCTTTGCTGTTGCTTCTGCAGCTGCTCCCGCTACTGCCGCCACCGCCCTCGCTGCTACTATTACTGCCATCGCCAACGCGGCTCGTCTCGCGAGGAGATCTCTCGTCCGAGTGCGACCGCGCGCGGCCGGCGCGCGTGGCGCGGAAGAGGTCGGCGGAAGGTCCGCCGCGCGCAAGCGGCGGAACACCGCCTGTGGCCGTCGCGGAAGCAGCTGCGGCGCGGTCTGGGGCAAGTACCTTGGGCGCCGCGGTCGCCGCCGCGGCGTTTTTCCCTCCGTGGTGGCTGAAGCGCAAGAGCGGGAAGCATCCGCCGCTCACGTCCCCGCAGCGACTGCCGTCGTCAGACGAGTAACCGCCAGCGGCACTGCTTTCCGCGGAGGCGGCGCTCGTTCCCGCGACTGACTCCCCATTACATGCGCCGTCTTCGCCGCCTGAGATCCTGCTTGCGCCTTCCTTGCGGCCTGCGCTTGCACTTTCTTTGTCGCTAGCGCTTTCCTTGTTGCTTGCGCTTTCCGAGACGCGTCCGCGGATCGCAGGCTCCGCAGCGGAAGCCTCCAGCGCTTCGTCGCCCCACTCCGCGTCCATCTCGAGCGACAACGCGGCTTTCCGCCGAACGGCTTCCGCGTTCGGGCTGCGCACGGCGGCGGAGGCGGCCAGCACCGCCGCAAAACCGGCGGCTCCGCGGGGGGAATCTTCCCGAACCACGAGACTAGGCACCGCCAATCCGCGCGCCGTCCGCGGAACCACGTCCCCCGCGGCGGCGTGCGTGCTGCGCTGTGCGGCTTCGGAAAGCAGTGGCGGAAGCCAGGGGGACGCCGTCGTGCCGATCTGCGCCGCTGACGACGGCGTCGTGCTCATGGTTCCGCTCTCAACGCCGCATTCGGCGATGCGCGGACGTGACGGCGCCGCGCCACTGGTGGTAGATCGACGGGTAATATCGCCGCTGCTTCTGTCGGTGTGGGGACGGGGTGGAGTCGGCGAGTTCATCGCGCCGCCGCCCTCGCCGATGCTGGAACCAGAAAACTCGGGGTGGGGTATGGTATCACCCGCGGAACAAGATTGGCTCCGAGTCGCATTATTGCGTCTCGGAGTCATGACGATTATATCACTTGTACTTTTTGCAGTTGGAGAAGAATTAGTACCGTGATCACAAGCGTTGACGTCACCCACCGCTGGAACCATAGCGCTGATCATCTTCTCGTCGAGTGCTATGATCCCTCGTAATAGTATCTCCCACCGGAGGCGCCGCCGCTGCTAGAAGAAGTAGGGAGTGTCTCCGAGGCGCACGGCGCGTGTCACAGGCCGCGCGTGCGGCGAAGCGTGATGACGCGTGAGCTGGGCCCACGTCGAAATCCTTCAGTCACCTCGACGCGGCGTGACGATGGGCGAGAGAAACAGCGAAGTGCTCAGGTGTCCCAGCTCGGCGGCATTGCGCGAAAAAAAAAAGAGCTGAGCCTTGCTTATTTGCCACTGGCTGCGGCAGTTGGCTGGGTAAGGTGCAATCGGCGTGGTTCCGTTCGCAGATATCTCAATGAGCGGAATGCCGCAGAAGCAACGTGCTGTATATAGTCGACTATGAAGATAACAGGGTGGAATACTCTCGCGCGGGCTCGCTACTCGCGGAGGATGACGCCGGTAGCAGGAGGGATTTTTCTCGCGCCAGGGGGGTATTTTCGCGCGCCATAGGAGGATATTCTCGCAGCAACTGCACGCTCGCCTCAGCTCGCCGCCGATAGACATGTCGATCGCCGTAGTGAGAGTCATGGTGGGTGGACGGGATTGGCCGGTTGCTACGCTGACGAATAAAACCCTTGCTTGCGACGATTCGATGCGATGCGCGGGGGACTGCGAACAGTACAGTTCGTATACAGTAGATACTCTATGATACAACTATGTATCTATCATCCTAAAGAGCGAATGCAGCCTAGACTTGAAGATTTTCACGCTGGTCGTGGTAGCCGTTTCGTACGGGACACAGGCTGCGAGACAAGCGTGACGCCCCTAATTCTTGAGGGGGTGGTAGACTGGACTAGGAAGAATGAGGAGGAGAGGGTACAGAAAGGGCTGACGGAACTTGAATCACAGAAGCTTGTGAGAGGGGGATACTATATGGGCAGTCACAATTAAGCCCGGTTTATTACGTTTGGTCACAGGGGTATCACGAACAGTCAGAGTACTGTAGATTTGTATCGCAGGTGATCACAGTGCTATCACGGATGGTCACACCTCGCCCCGAAAAGCTATCACGTTTGGTCACTCGTTGAAACCTTGATAGAAAGTTGAAACTACTCAAGTCAGGGCTATCTTCACTCCGGTTCATTGCACTGTTCGGGTCATCTTTGTACACTTTGGGTCATGAGGGAACCAATGATATTGCAGAAGTGTTATAAAATGCGCATTATTGGTTGTCCAAGAATCTCGGATGACCCGAACAGTGCCATGACCCGAAGTGAAGATACGCCCCCTCTGTAGGGATTCAAGGGAAGTTTTCTCGCGCGCGCAGTTTTGTCCGTAGTGTTACGAAATAGTTTCGCGACAGCTTTCGCTAACTCGACAAAAACATATGCAATTTGTTGTATAATGTCCCTAACAATATCTCCCGAAGAACATGCCATCCTATAGTGGTTTATATTTTTTCTCCAGTCCCCTAAATGTCAGGCTAGAATCATGCGCGAGGTAACAAGCTATCAAAATTGGGATTCCCCTGAATCTCTACAGTTCCTTTCGTGGTCTCAAAATTTTTACGATCGTTTCATCGAGTGACCAAACGTGATAGCTTTTCGGGGCGAGGTGTGACCATCCGCGATAGCACTGTGATCACCCGCGATAGAAATCTACTGCACTGTGACTGATTGTGATACCCCTGTGACCAAACGTGATAAAACGGTATAAATTGTGACTGCCCGTATAATTTCCCTGTAAGAGGTGACCGTGATCGTGGGGTGATGACGAAGAGATGGAAGTGTGGTGGCAACAGCGACAAACACACAATCGAGAAGAGGGGCGGGTGGACAAAGGAGGCTCTTCTCATTTTGTTTCGGTCCTGCGTGCCAGCTGGCGTCTAGTGTTCGGTTCGGTCGAACACGGTTCCCCCTGGCAAAGTGCGAGCACTGGATAGGAGCAAGACACGTAAATGAAGCACAGAATTGCCCCGACTACCAAAATTTGAAATGGGTGTGATTTGGGGCTGAAGGAAACGATTCAACGGGCTAGGAGGTGTGTTTGGGTTTGCCTCCCACGGCCAAGTTATTCACAAACCAAACACCCCCCCAAATCAAGCCTCATCGAAGTTTTGTCAGCCACACTGCTGAAACCAACCACCACCATCTCTTCCAACCCAGGCCTGCTCGACCCCACCTTCTTCCACTCCTACCCATCTCTTTGCCTTGCGAATCACTGCACAAGCATGGCTTGATTCCTTCCACGAAGGACTGGGTAGCAAAGAAGATTCTGCCTGATATGTTACACATGCGCATGTTAGGGCGGTAAAAGCTAGCTTTCAGAGAAGGAATTGGGGGTCAGCTGGTTCGTCACGTCAAGGTGGGCGTGAAGATAAGGGGGTGTCCGAAGTGAAAAGTCGATGGATGTCGGCGGATGTCGGCGGATGTCGGCGAATCGTGACGGTCGAAATCTCCGATCCGAGGGCTGATATGTATCGACATCCCCAAACGGATGTCAGCGGATGTCGACGCTTCACTTCGGACACTCCCTAAGACAGAAGTTGAAGGAGGGGTCAGTTTGTGTTGCGCGGATGCAACTGACCGACGAACCGACGAACTCATTCAATGGCAGCAAAGTGGCTATTGTGTACTGTACTGCAAGATGGCTCGTCGATTCGAGCGAAAGTTCGGTTTGACGAGCGACGAAATCGACCGCTGGTGCAAAAAGCACGACCTCAACTGGATTTGAAACTGTGCTGTACAGTACAAACACATGAGCGGCCAATATCATAGATACTCAAAGTATTCCCGAGCGGATTCTCAGGTGTAATCACCAACAGAAACACAGTTTCGCGATATAGTATTAGGTGTTTCTTGTTATTTTCTGAATACAGTCACGACAGAAAATGCAACACCTGAAAAAAAAAACTTGTAGCGAACCTAGATGAATTTCGAGACAGATCAACCTCAACTACGGGAAGCCGCCCACTTCAGGAAAAATATATTGCACCCTCTTGACCAAAAAAATAAAACCCAATCGAGAAGGGATGCGACTCGGGAGGCATCAACCCTAAAAACAATGCCCTTTACCGTGTTTAGGGTTGATCCCTCCCGCAAATGCGTCCAGATTCTACAGGGGTTTATTTTTTCTGCCCTGTCGTAAATTTACATACTTTAGTTTAACAAATCCAAGTCGGGAGGGTAAACTAGATAGTTCTCTTTTTGTCACCTCCCAAACATTTCGACCAGCGTAAACAGTGTGACTAAAAAGCGACGACCAATCAACGTCGAGAAAGTCCAGGCTGATTACACCTGAGAACCCGCTCGGGACTAATCTGAGTATGTATGAAGTTGGTCGAACACTTGAGCGATACAAGTTGCTCCCGTCCCGTCCCGAACGAACCAACGACGTGGTGCCTTCTTTGACACCAGAAACAACCGCTGCATGCCATCATTTGGTTTGTTGTGCTTGAATCACTACAGTACAGTAGTTCGGAACTGTGGAGCTGTCGAATGGTCTGGGGACAAAACTTCCCACGAACCGAACCTCCACTTCGCCCTCCCGACCGAGTTCAAGCTTTCCAAGCCTCGAATACACTGCATTTGGGCCGCAGCCCAGCCGAGTGCTTCGATATAGATTGTCACCAATTTTATTCACATTTACTATGGAGGTTCGGTACATACGCATATTATATCTAGATGTACCAATGAAGCACCACCACACTATAAAAAGGCATTTAAAACGAGTATAATGCAACAAATCAAAAGTGGTTAACATACGTAGGAGGCTGACTAAATGGATTTTTTATCCAAAATAGTGTGTTGGAGTATAAAGGGAATTACACTTGCATTCCCGTAGGTGCAGCAGTATCGCACCAGTCCCTACCGAAGCAACAACAACCGCAGTATCGGATCAGCCCGTATCAAGGGCAGAAAGGTCAACAGTCGCAAGAGTCAACTGTCGCGACTGTTGACCATCTGGACCGACGTTTGACTTACCATAGAGGAATAACAACAGGCGTAACCGTATGTACAGGTTACATGCAGCGACTCGGTAACAAGAAAGTAGTGCAACAGTCAGAGTCACTGTAGAAATGCCTGTAAAACAGTTAGAATAAGGGAATGTACCCCTCAGAGTACATGGCTAGCTAGGAACTATTTATTATGTGTGTAATATCTGTTTTAATCAACTTTGTCATCTACCGTACATTCAGTATGACCAGAGTTCCTACAACTAAGACTTCCGCTACTAAACTTTTCTAAGGCATTCCTATCCTATCCAAAGGTCCTTTACTCTAACATAGTGCTCAAACATCTCGTGCTAGCAAACTTGTTGGGCATGGATAAGACTTTGCCCAACAAAGAGGAATGTGAACCACCAGCAGCATAGAATTCATAGTCGAGAAAAAACAGTAGCATTATAAATGATATATTGTTAAAAAAATGTACACTTTTCATGCTCACAGAGGTAATATTGGTAGTGCCGCACTAGTTGAAGCCAGATCACAACTCCGCACAACTGATACGATATGAAACTTAAATGGGTATGCATTCATGTACGCTATAGGAGCCGACTCTATCGAGTACGAAGTCGAGGAGTCAGAAGAGTTGAAGCGACACCACCAACCGTCAGATCAAGGTCGATCGATGCAGGCAGAAACATTTGAAATGAAAAGAGTGGGAACAAGTTTGAAACGG